GGCCCCCGCAGGAGCCGGCCGGGCCGGGGCTCAGGTGCCGACGCGCAGTGAGTCAGCAGTGCCGAGCCGCCGGCTGCAGGATTAGGGGATTAGGGCCGAATCACAGGACTGGGTGAGGCCTCTGCCCCGGTGGGCAGCTGCGCCCAGTGGCCGGAGGTGGCCAGGGCAGGGCCTCTCCCCCGACAGGGCGGGGCCGCGGGCGTGCGGCTGGGGCAGAGGCCAAGTCAGCCGGGGCCTGTGCGTGCCACAGGGGTCAGCCGGGACAAACGGCCCCGTAGCCTCTGCCGGACCGGACCGAGGGTGGGGGCACAGGTGGCCCCGTGGGCTCCCCCCCAGGAGTGCCACTCCTCTGGGCGGGAGCAGGGGAGCCCGTTGGCAGGGCAGGTGCAGAGGGGTCAGGGGCGCCACAGCCGCGTGCAGCAGACAGCCTGGCGCCTGGGCGGGCCGGCCGGGCTCAGGGAGGCCAACCCCGCCCGCTGACCTCTACTGGGGCGCGGGAGGACAGCCCAGGGTAGGTTGGGCTCGGGCCCCCACCTCAGGTGGAGAAACAGTGCCCCGTTTCTGGAGGGGGGAGGCCGAGCCCAGGGTGGGTTCTTGGGCATGGAGGCTCAGAGCAGTGGGCTGGGCAGGGCCGGGCACGTGCACACGGGCGCTTGCGCCCCGAGGACGTGGCAGCCAGAGGCCGCGTGCAGACACCCACCCTGGGTTAAGGTGGTTCTGGGGAGGCCCCGAAGGCACGGGGTGCTCGCTCAGCCACGCTGTCTCGCAGGCCCCGCCCCCGCCAAAATGGAGCCCTCCTCGTTCAGCGGCGCTCCCCGCTTCCTGACGCGGCCCAAGGCCTTCGCGGTGTCTGTGGGCAAGGACGCCACGCTCAGCTGCCAGATCGTGGGCAACCCCGCGCCGCAGGTGAGCTGGGAGAAGGACCGGCAGCCGGTGGAGGCGGGCGCGCGCTTCCGCCTGGCGCAGGACGGCGACCTGTACCGCCTCACCATCCTGGACCTGGCGCTCGGCGACAGCGGGCACTACGTGTGCCGCGCGCGCAACACCATCGGCGAGGCCTTCGCGGCCGTGGGCCTGCAGGTGAACGCCGAGGCGGCGTGCGCGGAGCAGGCGCCCCACTTCCTGCT